CTGGGAAAACAGGTCTGGTCACCATTTGTTCCTGCGTAAGCTAGTGATGGGTGGGTGAGGGCCACACTGGCCACACCTTCGTGGGGCCGAGATGTCAGGAGGCCCAGGATTCTGTGGTTCCGGAGAAGCCGTGGAACTCCTCAAATACCTATGGGGGTGAGGGTGGGGTAAGAGCATTCATTCATTCAATCATTCATTCCATCAGATACTGATTGGGTGCCTGCCTTCTCCCCTCAAGAGGCTCTGGACGATGCCCAAAAATTGGCCTGATGGTGTGAGAGCAAGTGAGTCCCACTTTCTTTGCCAGCCCAGGAGATGAGCTCTGCATTCCTGTCCAGCCATGTCCTTCTGGCGTTCTCTCTCCTTCCTCTCAGCTCTAGATCCTCAGTCCAGCTGGTGGAATGAGGATGGTAGGGGTGACCTAGGCCACCTACTTGCCACCTTCCTCAGCCTCCTCTCCTGGGCCCTTCTCATCTTCCTGGCCTCTAAGCCTTGGCATCCTGGGGCTCAGACCCTGCCCCTCTTCTCTGCACTGCTGCCTTGGTCCATTCATCAAGTCTCGTGGCTTTAGATATCATCTGCCTGCTGACAACTGGCACACTCCTGTCTTGGGCCAGGACCTGTCCTGGGAGTCCCAGACTCCAGGGCATTTCCCCAGGGAGTCCCATAGGCCTCTCTGACTTAAGGTGGCTGACACTGAGCTTCCCATTCTCCCTAACCCCAGCCTTGGACTCAAACCCTGACTCCTTTCTTCCCTGGGAAATCCACATGCAGACTTTCTGGAAATCCTATCTGCAGGTCCTTGGGAATATTTTCCAGCTCTGACCCCTTCCCATCTCCTTCACTGCTTCTACCTTGGTTCAGGACACCTTCTCTTGTCTAGATTATTGCCAGCAGGCTCCTAACTGTTCTGCCTGCTTCTGCCCTTGCCCTATTTCAGTATCTTACGAATGTAGCAACCAGAGGGTCCTGTAGAATGTGAGACCCTCTGATGGCTTTCTGCAATACCCAAGCCCTTTCTATGACCCGCAGGGGCCTCTGGGCCTCTCTGCATTGGCTCTTCCTTGGCTGTCCCTTGCTCGCTCTACTCTTGTCTTTCTGGCCTCAGACCTGTTCCTCAAACATTCCAGGCATGCTCCTGTCTCAGGGCCTTTGTACTTGCTGTTCCCTCTGCCTGGAACATTCTCCTCTTGGCTTTCCACATGGCTCCCTCTCACCTCCTTCAGACCTTTACTCAAACTTCACAAGGAGGATTTTATTGACCCCCATCCCCACCCTGGAATTCCCTATCCCCCTTTCCTGCTGGATTTTTCTCCATATCACTCCTCATAGTTTAACACACTATATAATTAACTTGTTCATTTCATTTATTGTAGATTGCAGGTGCTGGGAGGTCCAGGTCTTTATTTTGTCTGCAGCCAAAAAGGACCCATGGCCCCCGGGGGGCTCAGATCTTTTCTGGCCTCCTGAGTACCAGGACGCTCAGCCCCACAGAGCCGAGGAGAAGACACTCAGAGGGTTTTTCGAGAGCTATGGCTCCGCCAGGTGAGGTCCACTGTCCCACACGTCCACATGGTCAGGCCTCTGTCCATTCCAGAACAGTGCTGGCCCTGTGTCAGGCTCTCAGCAGATCCTGCCCTTTGGTTGAGCAAGGTCTGGTAGACTATGTCCCTGACCTTGGTAAGAGCAGGAGCTCCAGCCGTCTTTCTGGGGCCCACCCTGCCTGTCCCACTGCCCCTCTGAGTCTGAGGCAGGCTGGGTGTGAACGGTCAAAGCCAGAGTGTCTCTCTTTGCTGAGCCCCTTTCCACCCCCTTAGGTCACCTGCCCCCACCCTGTCCCTCCTCACAGTTCTCTGCTGTCCTTTGGAAACCCAGTAGGGTCCTGTCCGGGGGCCCACCCCCAATGGCCTGGCCACCCCACTCCTCTCAGCCCTGTCTCCCAAACAGCCCCTCACTTCTCGCCATCCCCACAGCTAACACTCTGGTCCAACGGCCATAGCCTTTCATCACGATGTCCAGGATATCCGTGACAGCCCCGACTGGCCTCCCCGCCTCCCCAGCCAGCAGCCAGAACGGACCTTCCAAATCAGTGTCCCCTGCTCGTGGTTCCCATCACACTTAGAATGAGATCCGATTTCTTCCCGACGTGACTGGGCTCCTCAGCTACCTCTCTGACCTCATGCTGTGGGATGCCCTCCATTCGTGCCCTGTACTCAGCCAGTCCGGCCTCTCGGCTGACCCCCAAACACCCCTTCTCTGCCCTGCCTTCGTAAGGCCTTTGCCCTTGCCAGTCCCTTCTCAGGGATGTGTTCCCCCAAATCCTCTTAGCTCCTTCCTTTTCTTCATTTAGAGAAGCTGTCCTCCCTCATCTAGGTGACACCCCCCTGCCCTCCGCCCGCCCCCTCACAGCTCTGAAACCATCTGAGGGGCTTATTCCTGCTCCTGCTCCCCGCTTGCTCCCTTCCCTGGAATATCATGTTCACAGAGGGGCCAGCATGGTTTGTTCCACCCTTGGATCCCCGGTACTGAGACAACAGTGTCCTGCACGGAGTGAGAGCTTAGTGAATGTCTCGTTAGTAAATGAGTGAATGCTTCTAGAGGCCAAGTCTCATTCCTTCTGGAATGATCTCTGGTTTGGGTTAGGAGCCAGGCACCCTGCACCACATGCTTTCTTCTAACCCTGCCTGCGTCATGGCATACGTGCTACGTTCCTGGGACTGTTTCTAGACAGTGATCCCCTCTCCTGCCCTCCCACGTGGCAGGCTCACAGTGAGGATGGGTGTAACAGACCCGAAATGGGAGCGGGCTCAAGCCCCGCCCACCGGCGGCAGCCCCGCCCACCTGCCTGCGGGAGACGTGCTCCCACCTCTGGGAGAAGCTCCATCCACCTCCCTGGGCCTTAGCTCCACCCACTTCAGTGGGCCTCGGGATCCTTCTAGAAGAATGATCCCGGCCTTCCAGCTTCTCTAGCCAACCAGGTTAGGGCTTAATAAAAATGAGAGAATCTAATTAGGATTAGAATCTGTTAGAGAATGATAGGAACTCACATCTTGCAACTTTCCCCAAAATTACCTTTGTTGTTTAGCCCAAGATTAGCATATTATAGATCAGGGGTCAGCAAACCATGCCAAATCCAGCCTGCTGCCTGTTTGTGTAAATGAAGTTAAGTTTTGGCCTTGGGTAGGGAGAGAGGCTGTACGACCCACAAAGCCTAATGTATTTACTGTCTGGCCCTTTATACAAAAAGTTTGCCAACTCTTGTTACAAATGATCAAAAAGATACTGCTGGATTAAGTAGGCTTAAATCAGAGCCTTGGAATCCTGCTCTGTTAACACCGCCAGTTCGAGTCTTTTGTCCAGGGACACCAAAATAAACCAAACACTCTAAGCATTTCTCTCTTTAATAATGAGGAGATGGAGGTATAGAGTAGGTAGAAATAGCCACTGAAGAATCCTATATCTGTCCTTTAGTTAACAGACAACATTTATGGAGCACCTACTCTATTCCAGAAGCTGTTCGAGGAACAGCCATGAAGGAGACAGTTCCTACGCCCATCCCTTGGCGGCTAGCTGATTAAGTATTACATCCTCACTGTGCTCAACCAGTGGGGCTCCCGGTGTGAGGCTGAGCTTTGGTCCCCCACTTCTACCTCCACCAGCAGGCTGCATCTGTGCCATGCCTGTCTCCCAGGGCCAGCTGCCTGGGGCCACAGACGGCACGCCGTTCTTTCCCCTCGATTTTCTCAGCCTGCCCTTATGCCACCCCCACCCCCCGCTCCTTCAAGAGCCCCAACATGGTAAGTGGGGGAGGACGATCAAACCGTCTTTTAGGAATTCCATTTAAGAGCAGTGTCTTTCGGGAATTCATAAAAGGAAATGATGAGCATTGTAAGATACTTTTCTCCCTTTAAAAAGAAATCTGTAAATTACATCGTGTTCCCTTTCCCCTCCTCGCTGCCTGGCTGACTTCATGTTCCGTGCGCTTTTCAATGAAACCAGGTTGATTCCAGGCTGACCCGGGAGTTGGCTTTGATGTGAGGAGTAGTTATTGAAAGAGACAGGGTGATCCATGTGATGAAATGCCTCCTACACTTTCCATAAAAGTGAACGGAGGGTGATGCTAGCCATTCTGCTGTGGGGGATGGGAAGGGAGGCATTAGCGGCCTCTGAGCAGCTGGGAAGGGCACTGGGGGCAGCAGGTGGGCATGCTCCTGGGAAGAGAGCAAACCTCTTCTGGAAGAGCCTCCTGAGAGCCCGGAGCAGAGCTTTCAACCACTTCTGCTCAGGTGGCTTTGCTGTCCCAGGCATCGAGGACCCTCAGCCCCTCTCCTGGAAATCCCTTTCTCAGGGAGCATTTTACCTTGTTAGTTTTTGTTGATTCTTGAGAAATTTTCTTTGGGACTCAAAATGCTTTCTCTGATAATATGCCTCAGATGGATTTAAGGTCACAACTATTACTTCAGGATTTAACCTTGACTTGATCGTGGGGGAAGAAAAATAAATCTCACGTATTGTCTCAGGAGAAGTTCCAGTCTGACACTGCCTGATGAATTTCTTCATTCAGTTATTCAAGAACTATTTACTGAGCACTTACTATGCGCAGGGCACTGGGCTGGGAAGTGGACAGGATAAGGGAGGGTCCCAAGACCGCCAGGGAGATGTTTACACAAATAGACAAGGACCCCACAGCATGATAAAGGTGCTGTGCCCTGGGAACCCATGCAGGGGCACGGAGGACTTCCTGTAGGAGGTGATGTTTCAGCCTGCGACCTGGAGGATGGGTAGTGGTTTATCAGACAAAGGGGAGGGAAGAGGGTTGTAGGCAGAGGGAACAGCATGCATGAAGGTTTGGCCTCCGGACAGGAGGGAAGGAGGGAGGCTCAGCTTTTTCCTGCCCTCTGCTGAGACAGGGATCTCTAGATAGTCCTGGCCTTTGGTGCTCCAGAGGTTGGATGGATAGGACCCACCCCCAGAAGGGAGAAAAAATTGCATGCACTCACGGAGGAAGTATTCTGCTGTGTCAGCTTCGTAATCTGCATCCTCTGGGAAGTGATCGATTTGCTTGCAGAGACCTTTGAAGTTCCCTGGAAAACAAGAGGAGAAAGGACACTTGAAACATCAGAGTTTCCAGGGGCTCAGCACCCACCGGCCTCTTGCTGATTTCTTGTTCTTCTGAAGCTGGCTCAGCCCTCTCCCTGGCCCCTGAAGGAAGGTATTGCTTTGTCTGTTTGGACATCTGCCTGGTGAATCAAAACACACACACCTGCGGTGCCGCCGAGAGGATCTAAGGCCTAAGACTTCAAAACCCAGCCTTCCATCCCTGCACTGAGGCTTCAGAAGATTAGCTGAAGCTTGGCGGGCAGCAGAGGTTTGGCTCGGGGCTGGGGACTGCCGCCCGAGGAGGAGGCTGATGAACGGGTCAGTCCGTCCGCCTCTGTGCCCCGGCTCGGCTGGGAGTCATCTCGCATTTTGCCTGGCAGAGAGCAGATCGCTCTGCAAAGAAGGCAGACCCCACGTGGATGCTGACAAACGTTCCCACGGCCCTTAAATGAGCTTGCAAAAGCGCCTACCCCTCTGCTGTGCCTGGAATGCACTGCGCCCAGCCCCCAGCTGTGCTGAAATGCTCCCGGGCTGGGGGCAGGGAAGAGGTTGAGCCCCCCCTGGGGCTTGGGCCCTCTGCCAGGCTCATGAATTTGGCTCTACCACAGGCCTGTGAGGGGGGTATTATCTCCTCCATTATACCGAGGAAGAAACTGGGGCTCAGGGAGGCTACTTGATCCGAGTAAGTACTCATGGCCAGGAAATGATGGAAGCAGGGCTCAAATGGAGGCCCGTTGACTCTAAATCTTTCCTGGGGCGATGGCTGAGAAGGTGAACAGCGGCTCAGGTGAAAACCCAACGTCACAGCCATCGCCCCCCCCCATCGCCCCA